CCATTTCAAGCCCCTTCACAAAGGTTGACTGAGTTTTCAAGCTGCTGTTCAGGAAAAAATGCAAATACAGCTTTAGGGGCCCAGCACAACTGAGCTCTGTGTTCATCAGTCCTTTAATGTATGCCAAATGGTCTTTTTGGTTCAAAATCATTTCATGCAATGCTAAGCAATGCCCTCATTGTTGCTTTTGCTGACTTGCAGTAAACCAGTGGGAGGCCAGGCTGCCCCCATCAGAACATCTGCTTTATTGGAAAAGTATTTCAGCAGGCCTCACCTTGTAATAAATGATGTGACCCCAGAAGGCAGACAGCAGCACTCCTGCAGGCAAATAACTCATAAAAGATCAAAAACGCCTGAAGCTTCGGGAGCAGCAGCATCATTTCTGTCACCCCGCCCTACCCAGGGTCTTAGAGCTGTAATAAGGGAAAAATACATCACTGAAGCTCTGAAGATAGATCCCAGTTGATGAACTGGGAGTCTTCTACCAGCGAAGAACATGAGAAGGGAGGGAAGGAGAGGAAAGCAGAGGAGAGTGGTATCCAGCTGTGAAGCTTTTTACTCTGCCACTGAAAACAGAGCTACTCCTGGGAGCGCTGCTTAGTTTGCCTCAGACAGAATGCACTGGGGCAGCAAAATGTGCCATGTAAACTATTTCAGTTATGAAACAGGTAACAGAGTGCTTATACAAACAGCTTCGCTAGCACACAGATACCTGGCCATCTTAATTTACAGCCTTTTCCAGAACAGTCCCTCACCCTCTGACTTTTTTTAAAGAAGTTACTAATTTTCTTTTGTCTTTTCGACTCTGCATTTCTCCTAAGACATAAAACCCCACTGCTTTCATAATCTTTTTGTTCCATTCACAATGCAATGTCAACAAAATCCCAATGAATTAAAACAGTGAAAAGAACAGTGTAAACATTTCAATTTTACTAACAATGTAAACAGCATCAAAAAGATTTTGGATCCTGTTTATCTACCTGTGAAGTTAGTAGTCAGTGGATGCTCTGTTGGTACAGTTAAGAGAAAGGTCTTGCTCTCGTTGTTATTGCTATTGCCTTTTGAAGTGAAATGACAGTGGCACTCTTTTGAATGGTAGCATTTTACAGCAATTTAACTTCCTGCCTAAAGAAGCAAATTTGCATGAAAATTAGCTGGAAAGCACAATCACATACGTACACAGTTTATATACATGCTGACATTTTCAGTACAGGCATGACATACAGCGTATCAAAGGCCATAGGGATGAAGAGTAAATTGGTTGGCAAGATTATTTTCTACAGTAATTTCCTAGAAGAGGAACCATTTCCTAGAAAAGCCTACCATTACCCTCCAACCTCTTCTGTGATGAACAGTGCAGCTGATTTCTACTTTCATTCTTATTCACCTTCCATGAAAGCATCACTGAGGACCTAATGAAGAATGCTGGGTAATTCTGGCGTTATTGGATTTTTTGTTATTTATTTATTAGACATGGGAGCTGTTATCAGCAAGCAGCCAGGTGAGTCAAATCAGATAAAGCATTATCTGATTCCTGTGCTGTAAATCAGATTTTAATAGAGAAAAGATCTGTATCCCTTTGGGAGTGGAAAGAATATGTTTATAATGTGTTCTGAATGTGTGCTGCACAATAGCAAGTATGGATAAAAAATATTTTCTCTAATCAATTTTCCACTTTCTTCTCCAAGTTCTTTCACCCACAAGATGAGAACTAAAATAAATGAAAGTTCTGTTTATGCCAAGTGCTAGCTAATAACTAAAGATAAGCATGCATAAAAGCATGCATATGTGTTGCATCTTCACACAGACACACAAAAAATACTGAATTCTGCAATATTATAAATATAATCGAGGCATCATTGTCTCTCTGCTGGCAGAATGGTTTACAGATTTCAGGTTTATCTAATTCAGCCATTGAAATGAGACCTTTGGTAGCCTACTCCCAACCCCAATACAGCTTCTGTCTTAGGTATTTATCCTTGCCTTTTTCTATTCAGAGGCTATGAAGTCTCTTGACAGGACCTGTAGATTATACACAGATAACATTTGACTACCCCTTGAAAGTTTTGCAAATTTTAAGCAGCAGAGTAATCTAGATATGCTCAGACAGACATCAGATAGATAACATTAAAAACCTTAATGCAAAGCCAGCTCTTTCTTGCAATGCAGTGTTATTTGAATTTTGAGTTGCTGGAAATTATTGTTTGCAAAAATGAGGGCTCCCCTCTCACCTAACACATCATTTTTGACTGTTCAGAGAGAACTAAAATTCTGGAATTAGTTTAGAGTCCAGACACCTAAAACAAATATTTTGAGGACTCAAAAATTACTTTTTAAAAACAAACTTGTTAGGTCATATTCAATTAATTCCATAACAAACTGGAGAAAAAGGCCTTTCATGTCATGTTTGGCTTAAAAATGCCATTTCTTTCATGATTTACACATGAAAATGAATTTGTAACCAAACCATTTTATTCATTGAGGTTTATGAAGGTGTGTGCTCAGAGTGCCATTAACAAATGAACAGGGAAAGCTCTGCCACTGCCAGCCATCAGCAGCAATGCTGACATCCATGTCACACTTCAGTATCTTCTCATTCCCTTTTCTTCCCAGGTGAGCCTTTGCTTCTCCATCACAATTTACAGGAGGACTAACATTTTTAAAAGTAACTGCAAAACTACAGGCAGCACAGAAGTCATGAACACAATGAACACTAAGATCAAACTTAGGTTATCTGAATGTAAGGCTTATTTATTACGGAAAAAATCCAACCAAGTCACAACTAACCACATGCTGTATTTGAGATATTGGTTTCCCTTTTGGGGGATGCAACTACACTTTAATTTGTTGTATCAGTATCTGAACAACAACCTGATTCAAAATCTGTATTTGGATGAGTAAAGGTTAGCTTTAGTCACTTGGGCACAAGAGCAGTTTCAGGTTGTAATGACCTCGGTGTCTCAGACAGATTAAACATCCTCAAGGAAGACCACATCATTTTTGTTTTTATATATCTGTGATGATAATGCAGAGAAATAAATGAAGGAACTATGACCTGTGAGAAACATGAATACCGAGACTGAAAGCGTAGCTTGTAATGGGGTGCAGTGTACACATCACTAAGTAAAACACTGTAAAGGTCTCAGGTTTCCTCGTGGAAACAGACAGCAACAAGGACTGGGAGAAGCAGAGATGGTGGTGTCATGTTAACATGAAACAAGTAGGAAACAGTCACTTAAATACTTTTTTGTCTCCCAGGAAAAGAAAAAAAAAAGACTGAAGTAAGTGTAATGAAAATTCCCGTAGGTCCGTATCTAGCTATGCCTCTAAGTAACCTGAAGAAGTTTATTACAGCACAACTAGAATGATAAACATGAAAGAAACTGATATCTCAACCCAATCCTAGATACAAACTTACTACTTGTTACTATTGCACTTCCCACTGCGTTCCCCTCCAGCCGGCACAGCTAGACTAGTAACTCCTTTCTCCTTAGCTTCAGCAGATCAGGCAATCATAATTTAGTAGTAACAAAGCCATGCCATTTGTGGGAACAGACAGACCACCTTTAAAATTACCATCTTTCTAATAAGCACCTTGTAAATCTGATGAAATTTATGTCATTAAACTAAAAAAAAATTCTGATGTATCTGAAAAAGAACTTTTTTAAACTAATAATCAAAACCACAAGACAGGACTGCAACCTTACAGCATCTACCACGTTTTGATCCACACAGTAGCCTTTTGCAAAGTGACACAGGCTTCAGAGACGCTCCCTTCATTAACGTGAGGCTGGTTTGAGCTTCTTTCACCTCACTCTGGAGGGCAGAACATTTATGGAGAAATGAGTAGTCCCTCAGTGCAACAGGCCACAGAATTCATTGCACAACAGGAGATTGTTGTGCAATCTCACAAGATGAAGATTCAGTACCTTACTTGTCAACTGTACTTATCAGTACAAATGAAAATATTTGACTCTTTCAAATTAAGAGAACGTCCCTTATACAACACATTCAGCTCTTACAATCCAGTTTAAAAGGATGAAAACATCACTAGCCAGCCAGCTCTTCACCTGGCAAGTCTCTCACGTCTTGAAATTAATGCCATATTTATATCTTTTAGCATTAGTGAGCTACTAATGCCTACCACCTCCTTAACTGCACATGCTCAAACCCTCAGTGGAACAAGACACTCCCTACATTAGCACATGTGCTGCTGGCTATGTGGGTCAACCCCAGATTAATTATTAGCTAATGAGGACACTGCACTGCCCTTTTCTACATGGGATGGCTCTAAAGTCTGGACATGTAAATCAGACTGCAAGACCAGAGCCTCTCAATTATTGCTTTGCTTCCCTTAAGTTTTAATGAAACTTTACCTAAAATATCCCATTATTTTCCTGACTAAATACATCATGAATGACTCAGTGTGGGACAAGGGGGCAGAAGGATGAAGATTGTTTCAATTATTTTTGGTCAAGAAACCTCCTTTCTCTACAGATAAATGTCCCTGTTTTAGATCAAATGCACCTTTTCCCACTTCAAAATAAGAAAAAGATCTATTCGTTCAGAGTTGACAAACAGACAATATACGCGAAGCAGTTCAGGGGAAGTGAGGTAGCTTTAATAATCTGTATCACATTATTATTTGTCTGTTGTAACTTTATGGCTTATAACCAGGAGTTTAGGCACTCGCAGCTTCCCCTCCCTGGAGGGCAATGTATCAAGATGGTAATGTATCATGACCTCAACAAATGTTCTATTTAAACAGCACAATGACTCCCAAATGGAAAACACGCTTCTGCCTGCGATATCTCACGTTTAAATATATTTCTCTTTTTTTTTTCTTTTTTAAACTTCATTTCTAGAAAAAAATGGCCTGGCAGGGATTCAACGCCATGTTCCACCTTGAAACACGTAAGGCCCTTCAGCACCGGTGAGGCTGGTGTAAACGTGCTGTTAGGATAATGTCAAACCCACCCTCCTGGAGGCGTCTGACTTACTGAGGTTCCACTTGAGGCCAGTCGTGGTCACACTCTCGCAGGAGTTCCCGATGGGGATGAGGCCACACCAGGCGCCTTCCAGTCCCGTGTCCACACACAGCTTGTGCTTGCCCTGCAAGACAGAAGGGCCTCTGGAGTCAGTGCTCGCCAGGGACCCAAACGGCATTTGCCAACAGACCTTGCAAATAAAACGGAAAGTACTTAGATGGAGACAGGTCCAGAATGTCCCCCAAAGGCTCAGGAATATTTGGCTGCAGGAATTCAGGTTGTTGATGTTTACTGAGGGAGAAGAGACGTGTGCTTAGGTTCCAGACCTCAGGGCTTTCAAAAAGTTTGTTTCTGGGCTTTTCTAAGCAGAAATCCGGCTTTGCTCATTCTTCCCTGGCAGTTTTTGAAGAGGCACTTCTGTCAAAGCTAGGCTCTTTATTCCTGTGAAACGAAGGCGTCCTGACCCATTCATTAATTTTTTTTCCTCATCTAAACAGCTGTGTTTCACTTCCCAAACAATGCTAGTCAAAGCACCGCTGAAGCTCCTTCATTATTTTGACAACATCTGTAAAATTTCATGTACTTCTCCAGGCATGTACTCTTCCCAGAAGGAAGAATACATGCAGAAACTAGAAAACTAGAGAAATTAACCTAAATATTTAGAGTAACATGCTTACACTAAGTAAGAACAACAAAGTGAAATTAAAACACATTTTTTGTACATCTAAGATAAACTAATCTTGTAACTATCAAGTTCATGGGATGCAGGAGAAGCAGCAGCTATTAATGATGATGGATTTGTTACCAAGCTCCTAATTAGTACTTACAGACCCTGTGTGAACATCTTGCCAGGTATCAGCATATGAACAGTTGCAAGGAAGAGTAGATAGTGGAAATCTTTTACAGAATGAAAAAAAAAAAAGCTGAATGTTAGAGTTCTGGCAAATTTGTGTTCTAAGAAACTAAGAAAGTGTTTATGAAAACTATCTACAAGAAAACAGCAAATGCAAATCAGTGACAAGATCAGTAGAGAAATAATCCTCTGGTCTCTTCTACACAGGTAATGTATTCTTTCCAACAAACATGGGCTTTATCTGGAGAAGGTTAGGATTCTTTGAAATAGAGGTTTCTTTGGGGTTTTATTTTATTCTCTTGTGGATGCACAGGCAAGTTAAACTCTTGACCATGTCTTTTACACACAAATTCTTCATCACTAGAAATAAAATCAGTTATGCCTATTTATCAATCTACCAAAATAAAAGGACCCTCTGAAACCCAATGAGTATTCAGCAAGTACTTTGTTAAGCAAGAAACCAAGGTTTTATACCAAAAGAAAAAAGAACAGTTGAACCATAAAACTCAGATAAATGTCCCAAGCAGCAAAAATACCTTCTCACAAATTTCCTTTTGGGAAATATATTTAAGCTTTTTTCTTATGTCCTGTCCTCCCATATGCTCATTCCAAATACCCTTGCAAATATAAAGTCACTAGTTAGAAGGTGAAGACTGGAGGCGAAGTATCTTATTGCTGAGATGTTGATGTCTGAGGCGTTCGACAGCTTCTCCTGTTAATGCCAAATACATTATGAAGAAACAACTTCAATACATGTCATGCTCTTAGTTAACAAATGAACCTTGGAAAAGCTGTCAATTGGGGAGTATCAGATTGCATAGCTTAAGCCTGTTTGATTGTTTGCAGAGCAACAAGAAAACCAATCCAATATCATTTATCTTCTCAGGGTGTCCAGCTTCATGTGGTGATGAGCCATGTATTTCTATAGTGGTTGTGAACGCTTGCCTGCCAAATTCAGAGGTGTAACAAATTCAGGCTTGATAACCTTTTAGCTATGCAATATGCCATGCTACTTCTCTCTCGCAGTACAGAGGGAGGAGGAAAGGGAGAGGAGAGGTACAAGTACAAGCTCTCTCCTTATGTTATCACAGATATTGTCTATAATGAAGTTTATGATGAACGAGAGAATGAAGGGGTGGGACTGTTCCCAATGAATGTACATATCGCTGCTCAGAGCTACTCAAGGAGAGTAATTTATCAATTAGTTAAGGAATATGAAAAAGAGAGATAAAAGTAACTGGCCTGACAGAGAACCTGATTAAGTCCTGTATTCTCAAAAACTGTGTCTACTTACTATTAGGTTTGCAGTTCCTATTTTATGACATTCTGGCCCAGCTTACAGATAGGGATTCAATTCAATAAGGCATTTATGCAGAAATCTGTCTTTCTGTTCTCATGAAATAAATCTTTAAAACAAAAGATGTCATTACCAGAGGCTTGTCAATATCTAGGATTTTATCAAGAGTTTTTCACTGTCTGATACTTCCCTAAAAATCTCAGTTCACACATCCCAGTGATTATGTGAGAATCTTGACTTTCTTCCCTAAAAGGACAGTTGTTAAGAGAAATTTCAAACTAGGAGCCCAAAGGGCTAAACCCAAGACAGCAAGTAAACAGGAATTGAAATACTAAAATGCAAATTATTTTTCAAAAAACCTCTCAACTGTTAAGCCAAACCCATGGCTTAGAGATTGGTTCACTGATATTACACAAGACAGTTTTTAAGACTTTTCTTTAAATAGATCAGTAAGGAATCTTAATATTATTGGGGACAGTGGGGACAGAAAAGGGAAATGGTCACTGGGGGGAGGAACAAAAAAAAAACCCCAAACGACCTGCTCGTTTTTGCCAAAAAAGATTGATCAGCCAATGCATTTGTACAGTAAGGCTCTAAAGTCAAAGCACTGTGAGTCTGCCACAGGGGAAATTAGGTGCCCAAGCTTATATTCAAGTTTTTGAGTACAGATCTTTCAACCAAGCAAGATGGAACTGCTATTTGCAGGAGGAAGGGAGGATCTGAGCTTGTAATTTGCAAATACAAGTAATAATTTGTTCTATTTAAATCTCTGTGATTAAAGGAACAATTATATACTGGTACTTAAAATATGAAACTGGTTTCAGTTTCTGTAGAACTCAAAGTTCCAAAATCAGGATTAAAAAGAGAAGCAAAGTCTGACTAAATAATTCCCTCCTTCTTAAGTTTTTTTTGCCTATGTAGGGGGTAACTGAAATATTTTCACGTTTAACTTAAGAATCAAATATTACCATGTTTGAATGATACTGGTGATAAAATAATGGCAAAGAATACAGCTGCATTGATTTTTATCTTATTAAGTCAGTTTTGAAAAACATTGATCAATCTTCAGCATTGATTTTTTTTTTCTTCATTTTTGTCTCTGATGCTGGGAAATAAGATCAATTTCTAAGTTCAGCAATAAGAAGAAAATGTCAGAAGATATTTTTAAGAATGCTTCATTCATATAGGTTAAACTTTTCCTTTTGATTCTGATGTTTTGTGTTATAAGAAAGCATTTATGCAGTAGTGGTCAAATATACCCCCACTCCAACACTGTTGTTGCCAAGGAAAGACCTAAAGACATAGTTGTTCTGTGTCACATCTCCTAACTCAAATGAATAGAAATCTGATTGCCAGGAACTCATATACCTAACCCTATCCAAGGTTGTAAGGTGCTAAAATCTTTAGTGAAAAATTTGCAAGCTGAAAAGCATATGAACGGTATCAAGATAAAAGCTGATAGCTTCTATGCGTGCATAGATACCCCATGGGCACTTCATAAAAGTACAGGGAAAATTACTTCTCCAAGTGCTTTCCAGACCAACTTGAATAATGTATTGCAATAAATGTATACTCTAAAATAGATATCAAGCAACAAAATGTTACGAAAGAGAGAGAGAATGGGAACTGATCTTCAGTACTGCATTCTGAAGGGACCTGAAGGAGGGAAACCTGGAACCTGGCAGGTTGAAACTGGACACAGGGGAGAGGCATGAAGCCAGTTAACAAGATGCCGGGAAAGAATAAGGAATTAAAATTAAGCTTTAAAAAACAAATGAAGAAAGATATAATAAACAGATCTTGGAAACTGCTGAAGGACTAGGACATGTGAAAGGTAAAGGGGAAAGAAAAGGATCGATTTACAGGATTAGAGGACAAAGCAACCTTATTTTAATTTTCAGGCTGCCCTAACAGTTTATCCAGTATAAATAAATCTACTGAATAACTTAACTCCTAGAAATAGCTGATTTTCTAAACAGCATACTTTCACCTGTGCCTGCTGTGAGATCTGGGACTCCAGAGAAATGAGATTTCTTGAGATCTGGCCAACTGCCCTGTGATACCTCCTCCACTAGCTAGATCTTGTTTTCCATAATCTTTTGATAAAACATCTTTTTATATCAGCTTTATTTCAATGATTACTCCATAGATGGCAGCACACACTTGAAAACAACAACAGCAGCAAAAAACCAAATACAGATGTAATAGTGTTACCCAGGGAAAAGGCAAAACCCACAATCTGTTTTAGTACATAAACATCTGGGTGTAGAAAATGGTATATAGATAAAAGACTCGGGGAATGGGTGGAAATCAACACGATCACCAAAGACTGCAGCAGAGAGGAGAAGGAAAGGAACAATGATGAAACCAAGCTGAAAACATTTATATTTAAAATTAAATATCATGATTGGCAATAAAGTAAAAACAAAGTTCCAGAAATATTTCTACTAATCATTAGTTGTGTAAGAGCTTGACTTAACAATAATAAATACTTTTAGGCTGAGATTCTGAGCATGCTAAATACAGCCAATTTTTCTAAAAGGATGTATTTAAGAAGAGCTATTTTGTTATAACCCTAAAATATCATCAATTGTCTTTTCAAACAAATACACATAGTGCCAGGTTGCTATTACATGAATGCTATTCACAGAATGTTATCTGAGCTAACCAGGCTTTTTGTTGCTGTTGAAAATAAAAGTATCCACAGTTCCAGTGAAAACTCAGAAGTCTAAAAGCTCTTGTATATCATATCAATGACTGCTTAAACTCATATGGAAAAAACAGCAAATTTATTGTACTTCAAAACAATATTAAAAAATGTTGGACCTAATCCTGCCGACCCTTACTATCAAATGTTAGTAGTGCTCCTGTACTGAAATGGATAGAGTTCAGTATATCAGTTATTTGCAAGACAGAGCCCCACCAAGCCTACCCTTCAAGAGGAGCACTTCATAAAATGATGACTCTATAGTGA